GGCCGCGCCTCGCGGGGGAACGCTAGGGGGCCTTGTGCTCATTGTCCCCACGAGTCTGCCCGGAAAAGGGGATGAGAGTGACGGGCCGGGGGCTGCGTGAGGGAGGCGGGGCCGGCCGGGAAGTTCGGAAATGCGGTGAGGCTGGGATTTGCAGAACTGGGCGGAGGTGGAGGGGAATGCGTGGATGAGCGGTCTCGTGAACGTCCCGGGGGTCGCGCTGGGTGATGACCCCGTGGTGTGAGGAGAAACCCTGTCACACTGTTCACATCACCAGAGGCGGAAATGGATTTCCGAGCTGTAAATGGAGGAGATGCGCCCGGGCGCGTTCCTGTGAGTGTGTGTGTGTTATAACAGAGACAATTACAGAATTTGTCTGGTCGAGGCCAGCTCCGCAAGTACACACAGAATGCAGCTGCTTACAGTCTCTTTGGTCTCATCTGGCAGACACTGTTGGCTCGGTTTCAGCCACACAGGTCTTTGTTGTTCCTTGGTCAGGCCAAGCTCATTCCCACCTTTGGGCTTTAGACTTAACTTTTTTCTGTCTGGACTGCTCCCCACGCCAGATCGTCGAATGACTTGCCTCTTCCCATCATTTAAGTCTCTTGCTCAAGTGCTTCTCCTCTCCTCTTACCATCACCTTGTTTCCTTACCCTTCTTTTTCTTTCATTTATTCAAAAAATTTATTGAACGCCTAATCTGTGTCAGTCACTAGGAACCAGAGCAGGACCAAGTCTTGAAGCTTACTTTCTAGTTGGGAAGACAATGAACAAATCAACAAGTGAATATACTGCCTGTCAGATCCTGATGAAAATAAAGCAGGTTACAGGGAGTAGGAGGTTCCAGTAGAGTACACCAGTTGCCGTGGAGTCAACTCTGACTCACGGCGGCCCCATGTGTGTCAGAATAGTGCTTCGTAGGGTCTTTAATGGCTGTAATCTTTGGGAAGTAGATCAGATTGTCAGACCTTTCTTCCAAGGCACCTCTGGGTGGATTAGAACCACCAACCTTTTGGGTATAGCCAGTGCTTAACCATTTGCGCCACCCTGGGACTCGGCCAGTAGAGTGGACAGGGTTTATTTTGCAGATTTGATGATGAAGGAACGTCTCACTGATAAGATGACATTTGAAAATAGATCTGAAGGAATTGAGAGCAGGGGAGACAAACTGGATATATTCGGGAAAATTCTCTGAAGTACTGGTGTGGGGTAGAAGAGACAGCCAGGAGTCTATGATAACTGGGTTTTTGGCTTCAACAACCGGAAGACAGAGTAGCTATTTACAGAGATAAGGAAGATTTCAGGGTTGGAGAAAGCAGGACTTTTGGGGGCATCGGTTATTTTGTTTTAGACAAGTTTGAGGTTTCTGTTAGTATCTAAATGAAGGTGTAGAGAAGGCAGTTGGATATGTGAGTCTGGCATTTAGGGGAAGACATTCTAGCTCAAGATATAAATTTAACAGTTGTCAACATGTAGATGGTATTTAAAGTCCTGAGACCGGATGAGGTCACTAACAGAAGGGATATAGGTAGAGATGAGGAGAGGGTCAAGATTGCACCCTGGAGCTCTCCAGTGTTCAGAGGTTCAGGAGAGGAAGAGGAACAAGCACGGGAAATGAGAAGGCGCAGCTGTAGCTGGTGAAGTGGGAGGCCAATCAAGTGAATGTTGCATCCCAGAAGACAGGTGAGGAAAGTGTCTAAGGAAGGAGTGATCAGTCGGATCAGATGCTGCTTTTGAAAAGATCAGGTGAGATGAGAACTGAGAATTGACCATTGGATATAGCAATGTTGAGTTATTGGTGACATTGACAGGAACTGTTTCTGTGTAATAAAGAGTAGAAAGTGCCTGGAGTGGGGATACGGAGACATGTAGGTAAGGAGTGTAGGCAGACACATTTTCCAGGAGTTTTGCTGTTCAGGGGAGTAGGGAAATGGAGCAGTGGCTCAAGGGTAGTTTGATTTTCAAGATGGGAGATGTTACTGTTGATGGGAATGAATCAGAGAGGGGAAAAGTGATGAATCAAGAGAGGGAGGGGATAATAACTGGAGCTGACCAAAAGTAGGTGTTGAAGGCTGGGTTCTCTAAGCAGATGCTGAAGCAGAATTTGGGGAACCAGATTTTTTAGGGATAGCTATGGGTGAAAGGAAGCAGGAGGAAGCATGATCGAGCAAAGAAAGGAGTCAAACTGCGACGCAGGTCTGACAGAAGCTGAGCCAGCCCTGGTAGGAGCTCTGGAGTGAGTACTGCCCTTCAGAAGGTCATGAGTTGGACCTACCTGGCCAGGTTTTACTATTCCCACCTTGCTGTGTCACTAAATGCAGGCTGCCCCAGGAAGGGCATGTCTTCTCGTGAAGTGACTCTGTAGCTCTGGCAGTCCCTGAAGGAGTTGACAGGTGGAGGCTGTCTACTGACTAGTTTCTGCAGCTGGGCCACAGGTCCTGCCTTGAAGGGGAATCTGGGTGGCACATCTTCACGTCACTACAGTAGATGAGAGGAGACAGACTGTAGCGCACAGGTGAGGGAGTTAGTTGCCTTTAGACAGGACGATGCACAGTTTCTACACAGAAACAGGAAGAAAGACAGGATATGGGGACAGACACAGGGAGGGGGGCTAGTAGCTGTTGTGGGAGTTTGACAACTTCTGATTCAGTTTCTCAGTGAAATCTGGAGCAAGATCACTGACAGTGAGTGGGTGGGAGGGGGCTGTTGGAGGTTTCAGGAGAGAGGAAGTATGAACGAGTCATGTAGAAGGCTGGGGGATGAATGGATTAGGAAGTGTAGTAGGACTGCCGGGTAGCTACAAGGACACACTGAGATTAGTGGCCATAAAGTCAGAATGAGACCAGTCACCATTAGTTTTCTCCAGCCATACTCGCTACCTGGGAGTAGGTGCGAGAAGGCAGAGAATTGGATTTAACCAGGTTGGGATTGTGCCAGGCAAGTTTGAAGAAAGGAGAGAAGGGTAAGTGGGTTGAGGACGATTAATGTAACAAAGGACCATAGGCTCTGAGCTAAGTAAGGACATGAGTGGGGTGAGACTTAGTGAAAAGAGGGCAGGATCCCTAATTAAGACCTTTACTTCACTTTGTTACATTTACCACTACCTGAAATTTTTGTTTATTTTTTTCATTGTCTATCTTCCCACTACAGTGTAAGCTCCCTAAGGCTGCAGGGACTTTGTCTTGTTCCTCATGGTATCCTCAACACCAAAAGCAATGGCTGCCACATCACCGTGTCAATAAGTGCTGCATGAATTAATGCAAACCAAAATAAACACTTATGGTGAAGCTCCAGGACATTTTTTGATTAAAGTAATGAGAAGATGTGTTTTGTTTGTCAGGAAACTACAGGCTATTTCAATGGCTTAACCCAGCAAAGTTTGTTTCCCTGTCTACAGTGCCCTCTGGTGGTTCAGGCCGCTCTCTAGGGCGTGTGGTTTACTCCTTGCTCTAGGTGACTTCAGATCCACTCTCTCAACCCAAATCCTTCATGTTCATGGTCCATAGAGGACCAGAGCACAGGAGAACTCGTCTTCTATGATTCTGCTCACTGGCCGGTGGCCAGATCAGTCATATGGCCCCACCTGACAGAAGACTGTAGGCAGTATGGGGGCACATATGGAATGTTGGAAAGATCTCTAAGTGGCGCAAACAGTTTGCACTCAACCACTAACCAAAAGGTTGGCTATCACTTATATGAGACCAAACGGTCAACAATTACTTAAGAACAAAGATGCGAATGGAAGGGGTAATGGGTTATAGGTTATTGGCAAGCATCTCTGTCTCTGCTGTAGAACCAAAAAACCAAACCTGTTCTGCCTTTGAGAAGTTTTTACATACGCTGTGTACACATCTTTTTCACCCACATATCTAGCTCTGACATATACATATCTATCTTTCCCAGACTGTAAGCTTCTCAGGCAGAGACCACGTCTGTATTATTTATTACTCTCTCCCAGGGCTTGGCACAGTGCCTGACATGTAGTAAATACTTGAAACATATTTGTTTAGTTGAAATGTACTTCCTTTTGGTTCTTAGTGGCATGAGTCTGTTGTCTGGATGCTATTTAAAGAGCTTCCAGCAATACCAACGCAGCAAATTAACATGGTTTGGAGCTGATGACCAGAGTCTTTTTTAAACCTGGTCATAAATATAAATATAGCGCCGCATTTGGTTCTTCTAAAAACAAGATATCATACTCCATTTTGGTAGAACGAGTTACCGAAAGTACACAGTTTAGTAACTTGAGATTAGGTTTGAAAATATCAGAACACAGTAACACCTGGCTGGTTAATCATAAACTACATGTTCCAACTCTGACAATGGCCATGTAAGCAGTT